CTGTCCACGGGGTGGGGAGAGGGGGGCTGTTACAGAGAACACACCACCGGCTGTTCTGCCTCTCCCCTCAAAACAATTACAGCCTCTGAGACTCCAGGGACAGTTATACGCTGTCCTGTAGGGTTGCTATGAGCCGGCCTGCACCAGGAGGCCGTGAGTGAGTGAGTGAGTGAGTGAATGAGTGAGTGAGTGAGTGAGTGAGTGAGTGAGTGAGTGAGTGAGTGAGTTCCTGTCTTAATAAAATCTAATGCCACTGGGTCGATGCGGACTCGTAGCGACGACCCTACAGGGCAGAGTGGAACTAGCCCTGTGGGTTTCTGAGACCGTGACTCTTAACAGGAATAGAAAGCCTCATCTTTCGCCCTCAGTGGTTTTGAACTGCTGACCTGATGGTTAGCAACCCAACACGTAACCACTACGCCACTAGGACTCCTAACAGTCCCTGAAATTCCTCAGCATTTGGTCACTGCTCCCAGCCTTCGGGTGGTATATCTCTAGGCCCCCATCTCTCTGAAGGTGGGCTCTGATTATCTTAAGCCCTGGCTCTGGTGACTGGTTCAGGCATGGGCATATGAGCCTACGCAGGTCACCCCAGGAGAATCATAAATCCGGACACGAGGGTGAATTTTGCAGGAAGCAGAGAGCTATCTGCCAGATTTGTGCCACGGCAGGGTTTCAGGAGCACCTGGTGCCACGCTGGGAGCGGGCCACTAGCGATGGCTTCCTGGGCTACAGCACCGGGCTCATGGAGCAACAGGGGAGAGAACGGCACAGGAAGGCCCGGGCCGTGCTGGACCTGCTGTGCAGTCACTCCGAACCAGAACTGCCCCAATGGTGCCTAACCAGGACAACGGAGACCCAGACCAGAGAGCAGCAGCGCCCTGGCTCTCCGGAGCCTGAGAATGGGTCTGCACAGACCGAGACAGCCTGGTCTAGTGTTAGGAGCCGAGTTTAGATGTGTTACCTGAACTGCTAGGCAGTTTCAGGAAACCAGGCACAGGGGCCTGGCACCAAAGCTGAACGGGTGTGTCTGAGGGCAGAGACTTGGCGGAAACCCAGAGAATGGGGGTAGGGAGTGGGGGGTGCATGAGGTCACCAAGTTCCCTTCTGTGCCAGGCATTGTTCTCTGATGTTTACCTGCCTCATTTCACCTAGTCTTCACAGTCCTGTGAGGTAAGTACAGTGATTAGCCCCATTTTATAGAAAAGCAAACTGAAGCACAGGGGTTAAGTCGCTGGACCAAGGTCACATAGTTAGAAAGTGCTGTGGCTCACACGGCGGGTCCTGACTGCCCAGGCCAGATCCTGTTGGGTTTGGTGAGCACCAGAGATCTGGGGTAGAGATCAGCGGGCACTGACCAGTGCAGAGATGAAGCCTGATGCAAGACATTGGATTGAGTGACCATGCGCACGTGCGTTTTTGATGGCTCTTGCAGGGAATAAGGGGCAGAAGCCAGTGTTCACGGCGTGAACGAGAGCTAGGAGAGGGCGGTCAGGACGGGGCCAGGGCCACAGGTCCTGTGCGTTTGTCGGAGGGAGAGATGCGGGTCTCAGCGACAGGTTATCGAGGGTCCAACTTCAGCCGCTGGCCTTCTTTTTCCTTGGGATGCCTGAAGATATGCGCGCGCATATACGCGCGCGCGGCAAGATCGTGGCGAGGATCTAGACCCAAAGAGGCCAGGTGGAACTCTGAGACAGGAGAAACGGGCGTGTCCGTAGGGGAGGGGTCAGTTGGTCGCATGCAGGTAAAAGTGGAGTGGGAAATGTGCAGGGTTGAGGCTCTGTGAGTTGAGCAGGGTCATGGTTTCAGGAGGACTGGAGGGGAAGGGTGGTCAGCGACTGACTGCAGAGGGTCACGCTGTGGGCTGGTCAGGAATCTCTCGCACATGCGCGAGAGAGGAAGAGAGAGCATGTGGGGTGGGGAGCGGCTAAGAGGAGGGTACAGCACATGTGAATCGCCAAGTCCACGTCACTTGGGGACTCCCAAGAGTCCAGGTCATAGTCCCTTTCCCCACTCTTTATTTTTAAATTTGTGTGTTGCCGAGGCAGCTGCCTTAAGCAGGCCCACGGCATGTGGGGCCCCCATGCTCGGCAGTACGTCATGATCCCCGGGGTTTCCACTGGGCAGCTTTCCGAAGTGGATCACCAGGCCTTTCTTCTTAGTTCCCCTAAGTCTAGAACACGGGTGCCCCAACGTACAGGACCTAACCACCTCTTTCTCAGAAAAAAACTTTTGGCAATTAAACAGTTAAGGACTAAAGGCCCATGATCGAAGGTCAAGTGTTGGCATCTGCTTTTGCCACCCCCACTGCCCCCTGCCCCAGGGAGTGGTATCACCCACTCCAGGAAACCCTGGTCTGGCAGCTCCCCTGAAATCATGAGACCACACAGGTTCAACTGACATATGAGTAGTGGCTGCGCCCAAGTGGCATTGGTCGTCAGTGGAATCCGGGACACCCACATGGAAAACCCAAAAGAGAAAAGGAAGAAGAAAACACACACCTCACTGCCATCGAGTCAATTCTGATTCAAGGCAATCCCATAGGACGGAGCAGAACTGCCTCTGTGGGGTCTGGGACTGTAACTCTTTACAAGAATAGAAAGCCTCTCTCTCTGTCTCTTTCTTAGGAGCGGCTGGTGGTCTCAAACTGCTAGAGGTTAGCAACCCAACCCATAACCCACAAGGCCCCCAGGGCCCATACGGGGAGGTCAGAGAATTCCAGCCGTGGACTCTCACGGCGCTCCAAATAAGCTTAGGCTTACAGGCAAGCTGAACAAAGTGGCACAAAGTGCCTGCAGACCGCTGTCGACCTTTCTAGTTGGCCTCTGCTCACTGGTCATCCCACCTTCACGAAGCAAAACTCCCACCCGTGAGCCTGACACTCCTCAGCTTGAGAACTAGCCTCCTTGCTCGCTGTCAGCTAAATATTATTGTTGGCTGTGCAGCCGTGGTCCTCTACACTCCGGCCTCAGCCCTCCTTCGTAACTATGTTTCCCTCACCCCTATGCTCCAGCCAGCTCCCCCAGACCCAGTGCCCAGAAAAGGACCCAAGGCTCAGGCTGGAGTGGCTGTTTTACTCTCCTGTGGCGTCTGGCTAACAGCACACTTGGGTGTCACCAGCAAAAAGCAGGCAAGGAGGATCAGGAGAGGTGGGATGCAGTACATCGGGGATAGCACCCTGGTCACAGCAGGCAGAGGGCCCAGTGAGGCTGAGATCCCCCAAGATGGAAGACACACTTCACCTGCCCTTACTGCCCACCTGCTTCTCCTCCAAGGAGATGGAGTCATGGAAAAAGAAGGTGAGTTGGAGACAAGAGAGTGCTGTGCCTGTGCTGGTTCAGTCTATCCCACAGGTTATGGGTTGGGTAGGTAGCCCCAAGGTTGGCGGTTCAAACCCACTAGCTGCATCATAGGTGAAAGAGGAGGCTGGCTGCTTCTGTAAAGACAGTCTCAGAAACCCTTAAGAATCAGCTCTCCTCTGTCCTATAGAGACACTAAGAGTAGGGATCGACTAGATGGCAGGGATTTGGTTTGAGGGTTTATGTCCTCGACATTGAGGGCGGGGAACCACTCAGTTTTCACTGTCTTGGGTCACCTGGCGCCATCTGAGGAGCTCCAGGCGTCTCTGTTTGGCTTCAGAAAGTTGTTTCCTCTCTATCCACAGAAGAGTATCAGAGTCCCAGTCCTTTGTTCTGAGAGAGACAAGCCCAGAGGGTGGGCACCCTGGCCTGGCCACAGTGGGTTTGGTGAAGACACAGGGGCGCAAACTCCAACTTGGGGTTCTTCCCAGGAGCCCAGCTCTGCAGCTGGAGGGAGGCCTGAGCTGAGGCAGCTGGGAAGATGCATTGCCACCCCCTGGTGGTCACATGCCACAACTGCAGCCCAACGACCTGGTCACCTTGGAAGACCTCCAGGCAAAGGGGTGAGGGCTCTGGGCAGCGCTGATGGGTAACACCAGCCAAGCAGACAGCCACAGCCACCACCCTGGCTCTGAAGCTTCAGGTGGCAAGGTGCGTCTTGGAGCAAAGGGACGTTAGACACACACACACACACACACACACACACACACACACACTCAAACACTCCTCAACCTTTTCTGGTTTTAGACACACCGATGCATATCGACTGAAGTAAAGAACGCACTCAAAACATTACATTCTGAGGTTCAGAACTGACAAAACCCTGCCCATCTGATGCTAAGTTTCCACCTCAAATGAGACCATTGGGCTCTGTTAGCACTCTTACTCTCACTCCACATCAGAATTACGCCGGGAGCTTAAAATTCTCTCTTAATACTATGTATAATACATGTTATATATTTTATATAAGACACTGTACATAATATATCACCTGTTATATTATGTATTATACATTTATATATTATATTATATAGGAGCCCTGGAGGTGGTTACTCATTGGGCTGTGATCTACATGGTCAGCAGTTTGAAACCACCAGCAGTTCAGGGAGAGAAAGACAGGGCTTTCTCTACTCCTGTAAACAGTTACAGGAGGAACTGTAACTCAGAAACCCACAGGGGGTCGCTATGAGTCAGCACTGACCCGATGGCAGTGAGTTTCAGTTTATTATATTACATACATTTATGTCTATCCATCACCAATGCAGACCTACTGAATAAAAGTCCTGGGTGTGGGGCACACGTCCTCTCAACCTGCTTCCCAACATGAAGTGCATGTGTAGGCTGACGGCTGGAAGCCCGTGGGCAGGACTACAGTGCTGCCCTCAGTACTGGCCCATGAAGGATCGTCCCCTTCATTCATCCCCTTCAGGATGCCAAAGCCAACACCCCCTCCAGCTTTGACAGTCTAGACTGCGAGTCCTGCAGACACACACAGTGTGTAGAATTCACACCGACACACCTGTGCACACGCAGGCACCCATAGGCACGCAGGGAAGAAGGGAAACAGCCCCCCACACTCCAGGTAGACCCGGCAATCCCACCCTCAGCTCCTCACACACCTGCACACACCGTTTTGTTGGCTTGCATTTATTGCGCACCCATTGGGTGTATGGCCCAGTCAGACCGACACAGCTTCAGCTGAGGGCCGGGTAACAGGCGTCGGAGGGGGTGGGGTGGGCCCAGGAACGCTGGACAGGCAGGGCAGCAGCCAGCAGGCGGCTCTGGTCGCACACTTGGCTGAACAGAGACAATGGTGGCTACTCCCTCCGGCCCAGCCTCCTTCCCACAGGCTGAGCCTCGGGTCCTTGAGCCTCAGAACCTCCCCCAGACAACAGGCCCAGCTGGGTGACAGCCAGAGGGCAGTGCCCTGGGACTTCTCAGGGGAGGGCAGCTAACCCCCCTGTGGGCTGGCCAAGGGGGTAGGCAGGGAGCAGAGAGGGAGGCTTAGTACCTCACAGGAGTGGTGCTTCTAAGGATGATGTGGTCTGTGACAAGGGCAGGGCGGGGTGGGGGATGAGCATGGTGGAGTTTTCCCAGACCAGCTGAACCACAGGCTATCCCAAGCCTGACCTGGGCCTCACCTGGTTGCCTAGACCAACCTCCCCGCGACTCCAACCGTCACAAATCTCCTCAGCTGTGGCTCCAGCCTGGGGGGACCCTAACCCTACCCCCAACTGTTGCCCCCTTTGACCACCCTCCCTAGAAGCATGAACCTAGATAACCTCCTTCCCTGCTCCCAGGAAACAAAGGCCCCTTGTTCTCAGGGCCCCGGGGCTCTGCCAACCCGCCACCTCTTCCGGCCCTCACTCCCAGCTCTCTGCTCTGCTCTGCGGGTTAGAATTGGGAGCGTGAGTTCAGGCCCTCCATCATTTGATGGAGGGAGGGGCGAAGTAATAGAGGCAGGAGACTAAGACATAAAGCCCCAGAGCCAGCCTCCTGGAGTTGGGAGCTTGCCACAGGCCCTGCCCCTGCCCCTGCCCAGAGAATGCCCTCTTGGCTGCTGGACAGCTTCCCCCCTGGGCCCTCCTCCAGCAGGGCTCCTCATTCCTAAAGCAAGACCATGCTCAGGGCCCAGGGCTCCACCTCCCCTCCTGTGACTTCCCAGAGGCCTCTGCTGCTCCTTTCTATCTCCCAGAAACCCAGGGGTCTACTGATGCCGATTCCCAAACAAGGACTGAGCTCCTCCCCAGGCCCGGGAAGTGGGCAGCTCTGGATCCGGTCTAAGGAGGGCAGCAGCAGCTCGAAGGCCTCTGGGAACAGAGTCAAGGGCTCATCCCTGCTCAGGAGAGACTAGGGCCTGGCCGAGTGTGGAGAGACTCTGAAGGAAAGTGGGCCCAACAGTATTAGGAAAGAAGACCCCGGGAGAATGAGGGGTGGCCGTCCCACACGGCCCCCACCCTGGCTGGGAAGGGGGAGGCACCTCACCCCAAGGCATGAACTCATTGCCATAAGGCTTCTTCAGGTTGCCCCTCCTGTGGACACCAGAGCAGCGGCCGGGGTCTGAGAGGCGACGCTGCTTGGGCCTGTGCTGCCCCTTCACAGCTGATTGCGGTTCCGCTTGGGGATGATCTTCCGGTAAGTTCTGCGCTCCGAGATATTGCGCTTCACCTTGGCCGTGGTGGGGGCCTCGTCCTGGTGCAGCGAGGGGCTCGAGTGGGACTTCTTCAGGCTGGGCTTGGGCTCCTGGGGGCCTCCGGCCTCCTTCCCCAGCTGCTCCTCCCACGGCTCCAGGTCCTCAGTGGGACAGTGCAGACGGGCTACCAGAAGCTGCACGTAGGTCTCATAGCGGGTTTTCTGCAACACACAGGCCTCACCCTTAGCATGCGCCTGTCTCTAGGCGAGTGCGATGGAGGATGGCTGGGCCCACCGCTGTGTCTGTGTCTCCATGGAGCCCGGGCACCCAGCCTTTGCAGAGCCCAGTGCTAGCCGATTATAACACTGCAGTCCTCTCTATGGATTAGCGTACTGTGCTTCGATCCAGCCCCGTTCTAATCACCAGTCCTGTAACAAACATCTCTGGAACAGGATACGTCTCTGACACACCAAGAGGACCGCAGCCCACTAGACCCAAGATCTGTGCGGCGCTAGACAGAAACAGCTTTCAGCTGTACTGAACGCTAATGGAGTCTGAATGGCATTTTAATAATTGGCATCTGCAGCCCGGGATTCAAAGTACCCGCGTCTGTTCCACGCTCCTCAGGCATCTGGGCCGGAGCTTAGTAACTACCTAGCAGCCCGGAGACACCACCCCCATGTGCAAGGTACTTCCCTGCCACCGGACATGCATCGCAGCCCACTGAGGCTGGGCGCGAACCACTGAGGCTGGTCCCTGCTTTGTGAAGAAGAAGCATGGGCTGGAGGGAGGATCCTAGGCTTGCTAAAGGTCATGGCCGTCACTGCTGGGAAAGGTTGGAATTCTGAGGGCAGAAGCAGGTTCTTCTGGCTACAATGGCATAGGTAAGGTGCTTTCTGGCAAGCCAGGAAGGGAGGGAGGGGGCCCAAGAGGGTCTGGTGGGCAGCCAGCCCCGAGAAGCAATGATGAGGGTCCCTTCTCTGGTCTCTGCCACTGATGGCTTCTGATCTACTCTGTCCTCAGAAGGCAGGTACCTCACCTGGCCCTCCTGCCCCACCAGCTCCACCCCCCTCCACACAGCACCAGTCCAGTCACACTGTGAAGACAGACGGGCACTCAGGCCTGTTTTTGGAAGGGGTAGGGGCAAAAGGTACTGACCCTGGCCAGAGAGATGCCAAGATCATAGGACAAGCATTCCCCAATTCCCAAGACCGCATGTATACTCGTGTGTACACTTATTTATTAGGGTGGTTCCTGGGCCCGTGGTGGGACCATCACACTACACTGTGCCTCAGTTTCTTCACATAATAAGGAGCAAGCCCGGAATTCTTAGCTCATTAAATGGGACAGCCCATGCAATGTGTCACATGGATTTGGGGTTCAGAGCAGAACTGCTCCATAGGATAAGCTGGATGGGAATCTTTACGGCACCCATGCTGGGGTCCTTCTCCCGCAGAGCACTGGCCTGCGAACTCACCAACTTGCTGTTAGCAGCCTGCCCACCCCGTTCTTAACCAGGGTGGGATGTGCCCATCCCACCAGTCTGGAACGTGATTGTTCAATTACTCAGACGGTGATCACATGGTGGAGAATAATTCCGATCAGATCTGATTTTTGTCTTTCTATTTAGGACCAGTGACAAGTCCAGTAAACAATGGGGAAAATAAATCGTACCTTGTACTCTCTGTTCCTTTCCAGACATACGGCGGCTCTGTGCCCCCCCGGGACAAGCTAGGGGTGGTTGGGTACACGTGCATGCACGCGCTGGCGTTAGGGCCTGCATGTATGTACGCAGGCAGGCCTACAGACAGCCCCTGCAGGTCCCCAGGCTTTTGTTCTCCTGCAAGCACTTCTAACCCAGTTCGGAGCATCCCCAGGACAGACTACGTGAAGGCTGCAATGACCAGTGCGGCCACGAGAGGGCCGGGAGGGGCTGCGCCGCCAGGTAGGAGCTGAGGGCTGGGAGAGTTGGCGCTCACCTCGTACTCTAGGTACTCCTTCCGCAAACGGTAATCCTCCAGCTCGCGGCTGCGGCCCCGCCGCTCGGGTAAGTTTCTCTGCAGATCCAGCAGGTCGTCCGAGGCAGCGTCCAGGCAGCTCTCGTGGGACCGATGCTGCTCCTCCTGGCACCCAGAGGCAGCAGCGGGGTCAGCTGTGCCCAGGGCCAGCGTGTCCAGGCAGCCCCACCGGTGTCAGGCCAGCCCAGCAGCTCTCTCCCCTTGATTCTCTCTCCACTATCCCTGGAACTAGGCGTGCAACATCCCCGCCCCTAAAGCCCATGCCTAGAGATCATACCAGGGAGCTCTGGGCCGGGCCCATGGGGAGGATGGGCCGCACGAATCGGCGCTGGGAGCCCACTGCAGCAGGGAAGGGTGGCGCCGAGTGTATGGCTGCGGCCAGGTTGATGCGTGCGATCCAGGAACTCATCTCCTTGGCGGTGCTGCGGACAGAGGAAGTCTTAGGACCCCTGGAGCCACATGGCAGGTCCTCTTACCTACCACCACCACCCCAGGCCCTGGGGACCCAGGTCAGCTCACAACACCACATATCTAGAAGTTCTACCCCAGGCAGCGGGTGACAGACCCACGGGAAGGCAACAGATTTTATATGAAGTGCCAGAGGATTGGTTGTTCATAAGGACTTCCTCGCCTTATGAACCCTGGTGCAATGGAGAAGGGAGAAGCGCATATGCCATTGAGGGCCAGAAGAATGAGGAAGTCTGTCTTGGGAGAAGTGCAGCCCGAAGGCTCCTTAGAAGCAAAGATGGCAACGCATCATCTTACATCTGCTGGACGTGTCATCAGGAAGGGTCAGCCCTTGGAGAAGGGCATCATGCCTGGTACAGGAGCGGGGCAGTGCCAAAGAAGACCACCCTCAAAGACACGGACGGGCCTTGTGGCTGCAACAGTGGGCTCGACCACAGTGACACTGGTGAGGGTGGAGAAGAGTTTCTGTTCATTGGACACAGGGCCCCCGTGAGGGGGAACCAACTTGATGGCCCCTAGCAACATGAGTCGAGTCCTGGTGGCACAGTGGTCACACATTGGGCTGCTAACTGCAAGGTCAGCAGTTTGAAACCATAAAGAACTACAAACCATAAAGAATCATATCATTGTGTGCTCACCTCCCTGATACGATCGCTGAAGGGCAAAAGGATGCATAAGCAAATGTGGCGAAGAAAGCTGATGGTGCCCGGCTATCAAAAAGTATAGCATCTGGGGTCTTTAAAGGCTTGAAGGTAAACAAGCGGCCATCTAGCTCAGAAGCAACAAAGCCCACGTGGAAGAAGCACACCAGCCTGTGCGATCACGAGGTGATCACGAGGTGTCGAAAGGATCGGGTGTAAGGCATCATCAGAACAAAAAATCTTACCATAGTGAATGATGGGGGGAGTGCGGAGTGGAGA